GTTTCAAATATGTGCAAAATGGCAAAATCTACCAAAATGTAAAATGTCCATACCCTTTCACTTAGTCATTCCATCACTATTTATCCTGCATACATACTCCCACATATACAAAATGGTGTATACAAAAGGGATATTCACTGCAGCACTGTTTGTAGAAGATAGGAAATAACCTAAATGTCCTTTAATGTAGTATTGGGTTAAACACATTGAAATCAAAGTATGGCATATTATGCAGCTGTTTGGAACTAAGGTATTTAGAACAGAAGTAATATGTACTGGTAAAGATGTAAGTTAAATTTAGCTGGAAAAGGCAAGAGTCAGAGTACTGTATGTAGTAAGTATATCACCATTTGTGCTTGTAACAAAAATTATGGATGTTTGCAGACTGATGATTAATTCAGATAATAGAGAAACTGGTAACAGTAATTGCCTCTGAAGAAGCGAATGGGGTGACTGGGTAGCTTATTTCTCATCAAATAACTCCCACTCATTTTGAATTTTGTATTATGTACATGTTACCTAATAGAAAATAGTGCTTAAAGTGGATAGAAATTCAATCCTATAGAGCAGTGGTTCTAAACCAAGGGTGATTTTGCCCCCCAAAGGGCATGCGGCAATGTCTGGAGATGTATTTGGTTGTCACAACTGGTGGTGGGGGTGGTACTACTGGCATCCAGTGGGTAGAAGCCAGGGATGCTGTTAAACATCCCATGATACACAGGTCAGCCCCACACGACAAAGAATTATCTGGCCCAAAACGTCAGTAGTTTTGAAATTGAGAAACCCTGATGTAGAGTAATTCTTATAGATGCCAAGGTTTGAGAAGAGCTAAGCAAAACTAAAGGAATAAACAAAAATAAAGTCATGCACATATGCCTAAGTATTAAAATCATTGTGCATTTAAGATAATTCAAATTTCTAGCCATGAAAGGAGATGGTTGGAGAAGTTCAATATGCTCCTGTTTGCATAAGAGTTTATTCCAGATTGGTAATTATCGAGTCTCAATAAGCTTAATTCATGTTAATTTTAACCGTTGTAAAGGTAGTTACTATAAGAATGAGGTTAAAGTCCATGACTTCTAGGGCTTTATAGGCATGCTTGTGCATGTGTGCACAGCACATATACAAGAATATGCATTGCAGCATTGTTTGTAATGGAAAATATTGGAAACAACCTAAATAAGCATATCCATACAATAGAATACCATGCAGCCATTAAACACTACAGCTCTAATAATCTCCAAAATATAGGTTAGGCCAGGCACAGTGGCTCATGTCTGTAATTCCAGCCTTGTGGGAGGATTGCTTGAGGCCAGGAGTTTGAGGCCAGCCTGGGCAACATAGTGTGACCTTGTGTCTACAAAAAAATAGTGGAGTGGCACTGATCTGTAGTCCTAGCTACTTGAGATCCTGAGGTGGGAGGATCGCTTGAGCCCAGGAGTTCGAGGCTGCAGTGAGCTATGATCATGCCCTATTGCACCCCAGCCTGGGTGACGGAGCAAGACTATGTCTCAAAAAAACAAAAAAATACGTAGATTCAAAAAGCAAGTTAGAAAACAATGTGTAGTAGGTCATCATGTATATATGAGATATAAAAAATATACATGATATGCTTATTTATGCATATAACATCTGAAAGACATACAAGATATTGGTAACAGTGGTTGTTTCTGGAGGATTGGGGCAAGAATCTTTTCACTGTATGCCCTTTTGCTTTTTATTTCTATGTGCATACTTCCTATTGAAAATAACTCATGTACATAAATACAGCTCTGAGTCAATGAGTAAATTAATGCACTGTATAATTCCACTGCACATAATACAAGGAGAATGAAATATGTATAATAGATATGTAAAGAAATGGGAACACAGAAAAGTTATAGATTAAATGTTGGAAGGAAATGAGCAACTTCAAGCCATATTTGAAAAGAGGCATCAATTATTTCAGTCATTGCTATCAAATATCCTTTTCTTAATACTTGTTCCTCTAAAGATATACAAATAAGAGGGCAGTTGGGTTATTTATCTGGCAACAAGGGCAAATGTTATGCAAGTGAGGTATTTTCCAGATGATGAGGAGAAAAACACCCCTCTTAGGAAAAAGGGCTAGTGGGCTCTTGCTTGACTTGGTTGGCCTACTTGATGTAAGATGGGATGGAGTGGAAGTCAGGAGCCTAGTGTACAGTCATAGTGTGACCTTAAGCAAGTTACTTAACCTCTGGATCTGTTGTCCATTTATACATTGAGAGTGTAGATTGCAAAAGATACATTTTAAAAAATCAAATGGATAATTCGTATCAGGGAAAAAATTTCACAAAAGATGGAAAAATATTCAGCCTTCCTAGTAAGTAAATGTAAATTTGAGATTTTAAACCTATTGAAACAACAAAGTCAACATCCCATGCTGTTGAAATTCTGTTAAAATAAGTATACACATTCATATCTGGGTTTAACAACATGGCACACTTATGTAACAGAGCCATAGACATATTCCTACTGTTTGACTCAGTAACTGCATTTCCCAGGAATTTATTTTAAGGAAATTGTTTAACAGATACAAAAATATATATATACAAAGACACTAATTCATTAGAATGTTGTCTAAAATAGTAAACACAAAAAAGCCCCTAGGTAAGCATCAACATGAAATATTGTACATTTATAAGAGCCATTCTGAACATTAGAAATGTTCGTTGAAAATACTATGTTCAATGTATACACAGAGATAATATACAAGTGTAAAAATTTTATTTGGAAGGAAGAATTATGGGTACTTATTGAATTGATTTAATACTGTTGAACCAGTTTTTATAATCTAAGTAAAAAAATTCAAGAATTAATTTAAGGAACTAAATCAGTTGATCTCTAACATCTGTGATTCTTTTTTTTTTTTTTTTTAAGCATGAAATGCCTGGAAGGTCTGTGTGTGATTCTAATCATTCTCAAATATGGCTCTGGGGGCTTTGCTGTCAGCTCTTCTCTAGTAGGAAAGGATGATGGTGGATCAGAGGATCAGATAAACCTTCAGAAAAGACAAGGTTCTAGTACAGTAAACCAGGGTAAACCAGGGCCCCAGCAATTTGGAGACAATCAGGGACATATAGTGCATTTAATTCCCTCTCTCACACAAATTATGTCACATATAAACTGTGAATTTTCTTGTGTGATTTAGAAAAATGTTTTATTTTAGACATACACCACATTTACACCCACATCTAAGTATAAAAGCGTAAGAATGAGGAGAAAAGATATGAAAGCATAATCACCAAATTTAGAACTGGGAGGGAGCCTGGATCATTCTAGTACAACTTCATTTTCACAGATGGAAAAACTGATCCTCAGAAGGAAACATGTTATTATATGTAGAGAAAATATACTTTGTAGAGGACAGGGAAAAAGTTAATTAAGGGTGGCGGAGGAGGGGAGGGCATTGAAAAAGGAGGTAAAGGCAATAAATAAATGCAGTAGATATGTATGTGGATGATAAATGGGTGAAGGCTAAGACTGGGGGTGGCAAGTGACCAGTAGGCCCTAGAGGCTGGCTGTGTTGGGTTTCAGACACAGTCCTATACATCTATCCTGATATTTAATTACCCTACAGGGTGCAGATCTAAATATCAGACTTTTACCACTTTAACTCCAAGGTGCAGCCTTGCAAGTCTCAAAGATTAATGCTAAACCAGATTTTTTTTTTTTTAACATTTTGTCTTATAAATAGACTAAAGCAGATCTTTATCCATGAACTGAACACAGGAACATTGCTTTAAAAAAAAAAAGTGTAGGGAAATTATCATCACATTGACTTTTTCTGGTTTCTATACACACACAAAAACTTGAATGACAATTGGTTTAGATTGTATTGATATTTTTCCTCAGAGCTCATCTTTAAGTATCAACTGTGAATTGTCAATAAAAAATTTAAAAATTATTAGCCAATTTAGATGAAAGACAAATTGCTTTCATAGTTTCATAAAGGATTTCAGCTAAACTAGTTCATTTTATCTGTAGCAGATTATGTACATACATATAATTTCTCAGAAATCAACAAGGTTTATCTATATACAGGCTTCTGAGATGAGATAGTTTGAAACTTTTATAGCTCCCTCATTTTAAGGGACAGGTTAGTGCCATTGGTAAGCTGTAGGCCATAGCTATTTTGTGTCCAGAGGCTATCAGTTACTTTGCTTCTCCTATGTTTGACAGGTTTTACCGATGGCAAGTCGATTGTAGGACAAGATAGTTCTTGTCCAAGTTGGGATTTTTGCCCAAAGCATTAAACAAATTAGATTTTTAAAAGTAAAGTTCAACTTCCATCTTATTTTTAATGTTATATAATACGTGGCTTACTAGCACACATTATAAACATTTTAAGCTTTTTCTTTTAATGATTATCAAGCAGCTTATTTATGATACATTCTATTTCATTAAAAATAAAATTATATTAAGCAATTTATCATTAATTTGGTCTTTTTCTTGTTGTATTTCAACATCTTGGTAACCTTATAAACAAACCACAACAGATATGTATCTCATTTTACACTAGATATATTTCAATAATGGTATGCAAATAGGATTTTTATACACTGATTTCTATCTTATTATCTTAATTATAAAATGTTTATGCTAACTTCTAAATTATCTTCAAGTGATATCTGATGCCAGATATTTAGATTTTAGGCTGTATGTAGTTTCCCTTCTCTCTCCCACCTGCCTACCCCCAAGAGTTAATAGGAGTTTATTTAAAATAAAACAAACCTATACTAGGAACATTTCCTATTTCAAAAAATCACATAGAAAAAACAAGATTACTAGGATGACCTTAAAGAAATCTGTTTTAAAGATGTTAGATGTAAAATCTTAGAAGCAAAGTGTGGGAGGAATGATAATAAAAGTGTAAAATCTAAGGTTTTTAATAAGATAGAAAAAGTTTAGCATGAGTAAGAAACATATCATCACACATTAACATATCACAACTAAGTATTTATTATGCTTTTTAAGAAGGGAAGCAATTGCAGTGGTATTTCAGAAGCTATATCTTTTCTTTAATTCAATATATGCTGATAGACTCTAAGCAGTATTTTAAAATATACAACCTCTCCAAAAGAAAATATTCAACTAAAGATAAGATAGATAACTTTTAATGTAAATAAAATGTTACAAGATTTTAAAATTAAAGTCTTCATCAGATTTTTCATAACACATTGTACAGAAATTGCAAGCTTCCTGTACAGAGTAGTATAATTTTTACTCCTGAGCAAGTCGTTCAATAACACGTCGGTAGTCTTCCACTAGTTCCTGAAAGCTTTCTTCCAGCTGTTCATGTTGCATGCTTATTTCTATTTGGTTCATCTGGTTTGTCAGTTCTTCTGGTCGGAGACATTTTCTCATCTTAGCAAGATCTCTCTGCTTTTTCTAAGCAATAAACAATTATTTGTTAGAAA